CCACTCCCCCACTAGAAACCCTGGATCTCCTCTAGTCCCTGGTGGGGAGCAGATCTTTTCACCTCATAATCACTTAAAACTATGCCACTGAATCATTTGTTTTCAAATGACACCTCACCAGGTATACCTTGTACAATAGTATGTAGGGAGTGTCGACTATTTGGTGAAGAATTCTGGTCAGGGAATCCCACTCTCTGACACGAACATTGAGTTACTTTTTAGTGGCATTATTGTTACAGAAACCCACAACAGTAGAATGAATAAAACAGTGTGAAAAGATTGAACATTTTCATATGAGGTTGAAGTCAATGTATAAAGCAGCACAGATTTGGTACAAAAATTTATGTGTTTTCCTACCAAGAAGTGAAGAAAGAAACCAATTATGTTGAAGCACAGGATTGTTCTTGCACGATCAGAACTAGTTTATCTAGTAGGCATTTAAAAAGGACATCAGACTTTCAATTATAAAAATGGTTGGGATTTTAATCAACTGGAGAAAATAAAATCTATTTTTCCAACACGGTTCTTGCCAGTATAATACCTATCAATTTTTTGGGTTCCAGCTAATATAGATCCTCATTAAAGTGATCAAAAGGAATCAGAATTCATTTCAAACACAGCATTCCCTATACATTATGGCTGTGTCTACATTGGCACCATTTTCTGGAAAAGAGATGCTAATGAGACAAGTGGGAATTGCAAATGCCGTGGGGGATTTAAATATCCCCCGCGGCATTTGCAATTCCGACTTGTCTCATTAGCATCCCTTTTCCGGAAAAGGGTGCCAATGTAGACACAGCCTATGAGAAGTATAAGTAATAAGAAATAATCAATCTGCAGGAAATATGGCAGAAAGAGCCATAAAAAGTGTTCATATATATTATTCCTTGATAGTAATGTTACATTATTTTTCAGTTTGGGTAAATGTATTCTAAAAGAATGGCATGCTAAAATAATCACTGAATAAGTAACATAGATAACAGATTGATTTAGCATAGATGTGGAATAATTATACTAACGATGTCATCCTACTGTAACAAAGTTTCCTGTTAAACATTTAAAATAGAGAATTCCTTTTCACCTTCTCTCAGCAACAGCCAATCAATGGTTGTTTGCGTCATTCGGGGACTGATTAAAAAAGATATGTGACCTAATGTGACTGTGACCTAATTCACTGAGATTAGAAATGAAATACACAGATTGGGTAACTAGATGTGCAAATGGCCATTTATGAGGCCAGAGACCAATTTGAATGAATGTTTCTGACAACAGCATGCTTAATTTTTTGAAAGAAACAAGTCTTCATTACTTGAATTAATCTGACAACTAAGTATCTGATAGACTCAACAAATCTCCAGGAGAATCTAGTACTTTTAAAGGGACAGTTACTTCAGCAACCTGTAAAAGGAAACATACTCAAATAAAAATCTGTTCAAAACAATCCAAAGTTTCCTTTCTAAATGTAACCTGCTAGCTGCAATTCTCCTTCTGCAAAGATCTTTTTTCAGACAGTAGCACAAACAGATGGTTTTTTGCTCGTTAGGGAGCCTGTTGTAATAGTCTTAAGCCCTGAGACATAAAGGTCAATTTGTCATTACTTCAAATGACAGAGCTCAGCATTTATAATATGTCTTCTCCAGTAAAAGCTCCCATAAACATTGTTTCACCTGCTAGCTGCAATTCTCCTTCTGCAAAGATCTTTTTTCAGACAGTAGCACAAACAGATGGTTTTTTGCTCGTTAGGGAGCCTGTTGTAATAGTCTTAAGCCCTGAGACATAAAGGTCAATTTGTCATTACTTCAAATGACAGAGCTCAGCATTTATAATATGTCTTCTCCAGTAAAAGCTCCCATAAACATTGTTTCCTATTTCAGATGA